CAAGATACATACGCTTTCAACTTTCGATATAAATGCATTTTCTTCTGCTTGCAACTGAGGAACTTTTAACAGATCAACATAATCCTTCGCCATGAATTTTATATCCTCAGTGGAAAACCATTCACTCATAACCGATAGATCGATGATATTGGATACGCCATATCTTAAAATGGCCTTTTCATATATTGTCAATTTTTTCTTATTATTGACTTTTTCTGCGTTTGCAGATACATTTTCTTCGATGATTTTGCCTACATCCTTCCCTGAAGGTAACATCCATTCTTTTAAATTTTGGACAATCGTGTCCTTCGGTTCAGGTATGTCATCATCTTCATCGTTATCTCCTTGAGAGAGATGCTCATCATCATCTGATTGTAATAAATCAAGGGGAGTCGCCTTTTCAAATTTTGTGCCATCAGGTAATATATTCCCCACCCCCTTTCCTGGTAATATTTTCTTTCTTTGTGGCTCCTGAAAATTTTCTTCGTGAGAATGAGATCGTTTATGTCCTAAAAATAAATTGATAGATATCAGTATTTATTATTGCTCACAGAAAGAATTATACAAGTGATTCTTGATATAAGAAACCTTCGATATAAGAAACTCTTGGTATAAGGAAGATTTTTAAATCCTAATTGAAAATTCTATAATAAAAAGCCTTTGATATAAGAACATCTCGAAATAAGAAAGATTTTGGCCGGACCGGCAACTTTCTTATATCAAGAGTCACTTGTATATACTTCTAAATGCAGAAATGTATTACCAAAACGTAATTGTAATTGATTCTGGGTGATATTGAAAATTGTATCGCTGAAGTCATCATGTAATTCGGCTACCCGAGAAGCCATTTTATCAGCGTTAAGGTTGATTGCTACCTTCAAAGTTTTTAGGAAAGACGGACTTTCTCTCCAGAACTCGGCAACTCGAACTGAGTCTGTTTCCTTCTAAATGAATAAAATGAATGAAATAGAGAAAACCCATTCAGACGTATCCTAAGGTGCCCCGACAGACGTATCCATCAGGCTGTTAGACGTATCCTAGCACCTCTGGGTAAATTAGTAATAAGTCACATTTCACAAAGAGCGGTTCGAAGTTGCGCCCAATTCAGACGTATCCTAAGGTGCCCCGACAGACGTATCCATCGGGCTGTCAGACGTATCCTAGCACCTTTTGAGCTAGTAACACACTCTTCATGATTTTCATGATTTAAATAAAAACTTTCGAACCTTAAAATTTTTTAAAGCATCTTCTGCAGACTTTTGCAGACTTTCGCTATCACGGTTTTTCAATAAATTCGGATCATTATATATTGCTTCTAAATGTATTTTATAAATACGATGTTCATTATCTTTATTTCCACTAAAGTCGTTAGCATAGAACAGGCTCCACTGTAAAAAACTTTCTAAGCCCCACAACATATTATTTTCAAAGTAGTGAAGTCTTGTTAAGTTGGACATTTTGATTATTGAAAATTCTAGTAGCCCTGGAAAAAAAAGAAATCGATTGTCGTTAGTGTTGGCTTACTGCGGCTTACTGCGTTTGAAAAACTACCCAGGATCGCCAGCAAAATTATATAAAATTTTTCCGATCACGTGATGATCTACAAAATTGGCCAATAAAAATCGTGATTTGGTGTAACGTTACACGATCAAACAAACGTAAAATTCAAAAATTCGCTTATAACAAAAAAAAAAATTCGTAATAAAACGAACTTAATTTTATCGATTATCACGTGGTCGGAAAAATTTTTGTTGGCGATACTGGGGAAGATCGCTTGATCTGTTAAAAGTTCCTCAGTTGCAAGCAGAAGAAAATGCATTTATATCGAAAGTTGAAAGCGTATGTATCTTG